TATTCATTTTTCCATGTTTCAGATTCTCACACTTTAAGAGAATGTATACCCCAAGTGATATATTCAATCTCACTGTGCTAAATTCTGACAATGTTCTAGCAGTAGCTAGTCATAATGCAAAATTTGGATAATTTAGTCACACTACCTGTGTGTGTTCTAGACCAGTGGTCCCCAAGGTTACCTGAGTGGTTCAGACCAGTGGTCCACAAGCTTTTTTTGGCTACCAGCCACTTTCCTTTTGGGCAAAAACCCTAGTTCCCCCAATCAGCATCCAGATGGCCAGTGGCACCTACCTCAGCTATGCCCAGCTCACCACTGCCTCTTTCTCCTCCTCAGCCTCTCATGTGTTAATACAGCAGTGTGCCAGGCTTGCTCCTCCATCTCACCTGCACTGGCCTTACAGCAAAAGGAAGGCTGGATGGCTGCTTGGTTATTGCTCCCAGAGTGAAAGGGTGCAGAGGGAGCAGGAACTGAGCAGCTGGGTTAGCAGTGACCAAGAAGCTTCTTGCCCACGCAAGCAAAGGCCAGTGTGGGCAAGAGACTACTCAGTCGCTGCTTGATCAGGTGTAATGGGAGAAGTTTCTCCCCAGTGAGGAAGGATTCTCAATCTGAGAGAGTTGAGAGAGCTGAAGGACTCTTTTGAAGAATTGTGTCCAGATATTTCTCCTCCTTCCCAAGAGACATGCCTTCCCAACAAAGCTTGAAATTGTGCCCCTGCCCCATACACAAGTGTTGTTTCTTATGCTACTTCTTCTCTTGGCCTGTCTGATGAAAGAAAACAAGAGCACGATAGCAGCTCGAACCTGCCAACCAAGTCCCAGCAAACTCACAAATTTAAGCCAGTTCCCAAATGTGAAAGCTCCTTTTTGTCACCACTTCTACCCCACTGTCATGTGCTCTAACTCCTCATCCCCTCCATGGTCCTAAAAGCTGCTGGTTCACCTTGTCTTTTTTGCATGACTTTTGGACTGAAGGCCTCCTACCACCCCTTTTTCTCTCACCACCCCCTGGATGTGTCCACAACTCCTAGGGAGTGTACCACCTACTTTGAGTATCACTGCTCTAGACAATTTACAACCAAACCTCTGTTGTATTGCTGGCAATGGAAAAGACCCAAGAACATACATGTAAATGCCTGGATGCCTTAGAAAAACATACTGGAGATTTCCCTATTTCATTTTTCAACTATAACTTTTCATCTGGAAGCAGAAGTCTCTCCTAAGAAGACTCTGAATTTCAGGAGTTGGGAGTATACTGTCTTGCAGTAATCAACAGGGAGAGAGCTTCTGAAATCTCACCACACATTTGGCATTTTGGGGGAACTGTGTGACCAATACTTTGAAAGGGGAAATATGACCGATATAATAATATACTTTGGCCTGCTAAAGTAAATTTAGTTCTATCCCTCAAGCAAAATGAGAGCCAGTGTGGTGTAGAGGTTTGAGCACTGGACTACGATTCTAGAGATAACCAGGGTTCAATTCCCAGCTCAGCTATGAAACCCACTGAGTGACCCTGGGCAAGTCACATGCTTTCAGCCTCAGAGGAAAGTAATGGCAAACCTCCTCTGCACAAATCTTACCAAGAAAATCCCATGATAAGTTTACCTTAGGGTCCCCATAAGCCAGAAACAACTTGAAGGTACACAACAACAACAACAATAACAACCACAACAGCAGCCCTCAGGCAAAAAATGTAAGACCATTAGAAACTTAAAGAAGCCCAACTGCCAAAGCTCAAGTCTTAATTTGAAACAAATACTTTAATTATCCACACCAACATGAGCAAAAACACTTTTGTTTTCATACTATGGTTTGCATCAGTCTGAAGCCAGTGCCACGTTCATTAAAGCAAACTTTTTAAAAGAACACACAAATTTAGTATTACAAGTGGCCCAATGAAAGACATTATTCTACACTTCTTTCTAATAGATAAATGGTTAAATTACACTGGCACCCAACTGGAACCAAACTTCTTAAGTATGCAGCTGCAAGGATTTGAAATTGTGAAGGCAATCCTTTCATTACACATCCCTGTGAAGACAATTTATTGGACTTATCATACTCTCTTATTTTATAGAAGCAAGTAATAAGCTTTGATAGTATATCTCACTACTTTCGGAAGCGATACACAAATTATCATCAAAAGTTATATCTTCCTCACCCTACCTTATTAATTATTCTCTCCCCATACATCATTGCCTTGCTTATTAAATGTATACTAAACATCCTCTGCTCAGGAAACCCATATTTCTCCATTCCAGCAGGCTGGCACATGTGTATGCACTTTCAAAATAAAGATTAGTAGTAAAGTTGGCCCTCCCTATCCATGGATTTTTTATCCATGGATTCAAGCATCCATGACTTGTTCTAAATATTCTAAAAATGTATAAATTCCAAATTAACAAACCTTGATTTTGCCATTTTATATTTTGTTGTTGCTAACTGCCTTCAAGTCGATCTCGACTCATGGCGACCCTATGGATGAGACATCTCCAAGACCCCGTCCTCCATTGCTCTGCGTAATTCCTGCAACCCATACCCGTGACCACTTTAATAGAGTCCATCCATCTAGCATGTGGCCTTCCTTTCTTCTACTTCCCTCCATGTTCCCCACCACTATTGTCTTTCCCAGTGAGTCCTCCCTTCTCATTATGTGTCTGAAGTACAACACTATTAGTCTGGTCATCTTGGCTTCCAGGGAAGTTTCCAGTTTGATTTGCTCTAGGACCCATTTGTTTGTCTGCATGAGAGGCTGAGGTTTGGCATGAAAACAGCACCGAAAATGCCCACAACTTGGTTCCGATATGTGAATGACACTTTCACCATTTGAAGCCATGGAGAAGAAAATATGGCTGGGTTCCTGAACCACGTGAACAAAATCCACCGTAACATCCAATTCTCTATGGAAAAAGAAAAGGAAGGAACACTGCCATTCCTGGATGTCCTTATCATCCGCAAACCAAACCAACGTCTGGGTCACACAGTATACAGAAAACCTACACACAGATACCTGTACAAGAACTCCAACCATCACCCAGGACAAAAAAGAAGCACAATAAAAACACTGGTAGACCAGGCAAAACGCACCTGTGAACCCCACTTCTTGGAAGAAGAATTGAAGCACTTAGACCAGGCTCTACAGGCGAATGTTTACTCCAGCTCAGACATCAGAAGGGCTGCCAGACCCAGGAAAACCCAGAGGAGTGAAGACAAGCAATCACCCAAAGGGAAGGTATTTTTTTACTATGCATCAAAGGAGTCACAGACAGAATAGGGAAAGTGATGAGGAAACACAA